CCTTCTACAGCAGCTAACATTCACGAGTTATCTTATAAAAATACTTAGGTGAGAACATCTATTAACTAGTTTTTCACAGTCGGACTACAATATGTCCATTCACAGAATCATTTCAGTACACATTACAGCACAGCATTAAATTTACTGTAACACATTTATAATTAAAGTAATTCCTATTGTAAGGAACTAGATGTAATATATTATCACTATATTATATTAACCAAATTTAGATATCTATTTCTTCACGGTAGTTCGTACCGTGACATCATCATATATTTAATAGTAAATTAAAAAATAGTGTTATATTCTTTACAACTTCAAAGAAAATTTACGATTATGCCAAATAGATCATGAAGACTTATCGAGTGTTACTGTGGATGCAGACGCACGCTTAATATTAACAGAAATCATTCAGCTACAGAATCCAACTGCTGATCTACAGTCCGAGCTTGGTGATATTCAAAGTCAGTCTTGGCCTTTACTAACCGACTTAAGCTGTGATCTTGATATAGATAAACGTGTTTACTGGTCAGATATTCTACAAATGCAGCCATCATCAAGTTCTTGCATAATTTCTATTTTAGAATCAAGTATGGACTCTGCCGGTGATGTGTGTGATCAAGCAAATAATTGTCCTGAATACTATACGACCTTACCCAGTCAACAAGAGCCTGATTGTTCGACAATTAATCCTCTAAAGTCTCCAATCAAGAATTCTATCAGTAATTTATCCTCTAGAACTCTATACGGTAACTAAAATAACATTAGAATTTTCAGTAACTACCGCGTGAGCTAACGCTTAGTAATGTTTTGATTTTATTTTTAACTTTCATTTTCTTTTCCGATACGATTTTATAAATAAAAAAATATTATTCAAGATACAACCTTGGATATGACTTACAGAACACCTACCCCAAGTTCAACAACAAAGTACATCACTCAAAGAAAGAATACTGGGGTAACAGTAATATATAATATTAGCCACTTCATTTCCTATAAAATTATTTATTCTTATTTGGAAGTAGAAATTAAATATATTAAATGCCAAGCATTAATAATTTAAACTTTTTTCACCAGCATGCTACATCGACATTTAATGGTAGCCAAGCCAATCAGATTCTAGCCTCATTTAATCAAAATATAAGCAAAACCACTGTGAACACAGCAAAAGTTCTAGGATATAGTCGAACATTGCATGAAATCATAGATAAAATAGATATGAAATCTTTATCTACAGCAGAAACGACAGATTTATCGGAGGTTTCATCACTAAATTAATCACAATTTTCCTGTAATCAAATGCTATAGTACCGGTATTAGATATCGTTATAATAATTTAATGTTTTCCATTTGTTTACTTCTAGTTCGTAGTTAAAATAGTTAAAAAGCTGGTAACTGCTGGAATAAATGGTAGTAATCAGGTAGAACATTGGAATTCCTAAAGATTTAAGATGTGACGTATAACGCCATATTTGTATACCAACACAAGCTCTACACTTAAAAATTATTATGCAGAAATAATGTTTCGATGAAATTTTTACCATTAAACTAAACTTCTTTTTTTTTTGAATAATTCTATTCGATTTCTTATTTACTAACATTCAAATATTACAATTCAACTTAAAGGATAAAATAGCATCAGATTATATGCAATTACTGGATCACTATTTTTTACGGGTTGCTGAGAAATTATCATACGGGGAAACATTTAATTTTACGGACGTAGAAACAGGTAATTTACAATTATGCCTAAAATTATTTTTTTTAGAAAATATAAAAGGTCCCATGAGTTAAATAGGAATAAATATATATAAAAATTATACATAGTGTACGTATAAATATATACAAAAAGTAAGGTAGTTATTTATTTCATAACATATACGTATAAATTTTCATAGACATTTATTCTTTGAATTACGAATTATTCCATTCAACATCTAAAATAGATTAGATTGACTTTAAAATAAAATTTACCTTGTGCTTACATTTTACGTTTTAGGCGATGTTACTATGGTCATATCTGTTCAACAAGTAGAAGCTTACAATTCGACCAACTATGAATTTGTCTTTAACTCTAAATCAGCTCTTCGAAAATCGGACGATGTATTAATAAATTTATCTAATATTATGTTTCGAAAAAGTAAGTTCAAGCTTTAACAATATCTATCGAGTTTCGGCGGATTGTTTATAATCATTTATTCATTAAATGTTTGACACCTTGTAAACAAATATTTTTTCATTCGTATTATAGATGAAACCGTTAAAATTATTGCCGGTATCTATTGGTTCCTGCAAGATACTGTAGCACGCGTTAATGATCAATTGTAATTTCTAAAATCTATATTTTTATTTATTGAATGGTATTTTAAACATCAGGCTGATATAGGTTTTTCTAATCATATTTAGAACTTTATCCTCGGATATTATATCCTGCAAAATAGAACCTTATCCTGTCTTTCAGGATAACGCAATTTTTCAATATCATGTTTCTTATCCAAATAAAGCCTCAAAGGTAAGACTTTTGAAAAGACTATTGAAGATAAAAACATTTATTATGAAAGGTTTCTACGACAGCTGCTTTGCTTTACATGACTAGTATTTTACGTTAGTTGCATAGCATTGAATCACAAACTAATTAACAAAATTTTATTTTATTAACTTATATGATATTAAAATAAATTACATTGATAAGTTAATAAGGTTATAGTAGACTAATGTCAATTTCTGTGAGCTTAGTAGATTAATTTGATTTCTTTCTGGTTTAAATCTACCCCTTAACTTATCCAGAATAGTGGAAATAATTGGAAGTGCATGTACTGGGACTTGCAATCAAGGTACAGTAAGATTGTTCTCTGAAGATAAAAAAATGCCAAAGCTGTATCGCCTTTCGATTAAAACACAGGAATTAGATTATATTTGCTACGCTATTTACTATCCTTGCTATTTTTTACCTATTTCTTCTTATTTAGGAGTTGGAATAATACTGGCTGTACCACGAACTTAAACTTGAATAAAGTCGTTTGTGTATGCAATCATTTAACTCATTTTGCTTTGCTATTACAGATTAAAGTAAGTCATGGATAAATTGCCTTAATGAATTTCTTTAAGCTTTATAAATTGATTCATACAAATACAGTTTTGAGAGCTAGTAACTGAAAAATGTTAAGATTCTTGATTATCACAATTAGAGAGTGGTGAATTACAAAATTACTTGAAAGGATTAGTTTGCTATTATTTTTTTGCAGATTTATATTGTTTTATACAGAGTGAAGCTAAGTTAGTATGATACATCTTCAAAATTAATCAGGAAATATCACCGTTATTTCAGTGCTAATAGCAAAAAATAAGTAAAATATTCAATATGAAACTTCTATGGTATAAGTTAGTTATACTTAAATATTTTCTGATCATTCTTCATTATTACGTACATATAATGGATGACATCTATAAACTCAAGAAAACTCAAATTTTTGTTGATGTAGTGGTAACAAATTTGCATATTTGACTTCATTTTCCTCATTATTTTCACTATTTTTGTTGTATGGTTGTCATTAGATTCGCATTAATACCACCTTGCTTAACGCTATCAACACTATAACATATGGTTGCTTGGGAACATCAGTCACTTGCATTATTTTCACATTACTAGTCTACACAATTTTTAAGTAAGACCTTGCCAAATTATCGTTTAGAATTAAATTTCATAGACTCTACTATCTGACATACAAATAGGAATAACTTCCAATGTTTTTTCAGAATGTTCAAGCTTTTTTCTCTCTATATAGAATTAATTCTGAGCGATTTGTCATACATAAGAACTTGTTGGTTGCTCTCATGTTCTCTCAAATTTGTATAATCACAGCATCTCAGGCTACTAAGTTTGAGGTGAGGTCTAAATCAAATACATAAGCTTCCTAATTTTGACTATACGATCTGCATGATAAGTGCTAGCAGTATTTTGATTTGAAAGTAATTATCAACTATTTATCACCATAAATAGGTGCTATGTAAAGTAATGGCCATCATATCGCATTTCTTCTGCCTTGCTTCCTTTTCTTGGATGCTGGTTGAAGCGGCGCATTTATATTTCTTAATTATTTCTGTATTCAACCATCGAAGCAAAATGATTTTATATTTTATATTTGGTTGGGGTAAGTCCAGAGACGACAGATTATTTTTTTATTTCTTGAATATAGACTAAGAGAGTAATGGTGTACACTCAAGAAATAGATTACTTTTTAAAGTTTTGCAATATACTTTAGACATCAAACAGATGAAATCTGAAAATCGGTATATGTTATTACCGTTGCATATCTTATGATTGCTTAGCTAAGCCATTAACGTCCATTTTGCACACTAAAATTATATGAGTAGATTAAATGCGACTGATTTTTAGAGTATAGCCTAAGTGAAATCATTTTTAGTTGAGTTTTTAAATTAAACTCCTTCATTAACTAAAAATCTGTAAGCTCTTAAATGCATGATTATCAGCATACTAAACACCTAACTTAGCTAAATTAATGCTAATTTTTAATTACATTACCCTAGGAATTCCAATTATAGTGGTTGGCGTAACAGTCGCTGTTCAGCATGAAAATTATGGCCGAGATCAAATGTAATCCATAATCTTTAAATGCCATTCCAAAGGATAGTTTCTATTTCTTAAATTAGTATTAAGTAATGCAAAATTCTTTCACTGATAAGCTACACCTTTAGTCGTTATTGTACTCAGCAAACAAAGCCTATATCGTAATGCTAACAACAGGATTGATAGTAAATTTAGTAGTTACTAGACGACTATCACTATATAAGACAGTGTAAGGTTTTGTTCAATAAATCTTAATTTTCTAAAGTTTTAAAGATTCTTGATCTATCAACCTCACACACTTCTGTTTCAGATGCTGGCTATCAACGAAAAACGGGTTTACTTGGGCATTTATAGGACCAGTTGTGGCAATTATAGCGGTTTGTAATAATGAAAACCCTGCTTAAAAGGCGTACCTTGTCTATTTTAGTAAATTATTTCTTTAATTATATATGATGCAAAATAGGTGCAGCTAAATGTGTTTGAATAGAATTAATTGTATGTGTGAAGTTAACTTATCTCAATCTATAATTGTCGGAAAAATAGATTAATTTCGTTGTCATGATTGCTGTGGTCAAGATTGCGGTAGCATCCAGCACTAAGAATATTTTCGCTAATCACGGCATCAAGAACAAATTGCGAGGAATCAAGTATGTTTCTATATTAGCTATGCTATTGAATTGCCTAAATCCTACCTTAATTAAAAATTTAGGTTAATACGGCAATACTAATTAGCTTATATTTATTAATATAAATATTATATTTTTATTTAATAATCCTGAATATCTCATAGCTGTTTTAGTAGCTGATGTTTTTTTCAGTATAATAAATAATATCGAATCAAAAGTTGTCGATTTCATTGACTTAAATTTGTATCGCTGTCTGATTCATTGGAAATCAGTGTCATATTTAATTTCATAATTTCATTTCTTTTTTTCATATTTTTCTTGCCTTTATTGCCTTTGTGATATCCTGGACTAAATAAAATCCAATTACATTTCTAGAACAATGGTCAAGGCGATATCAATACTTTGCCCAATTTTAGGCCTGACTTGGCTAATTGGGTTAATACCTATCACTCAAGAGACGATTGCTGTAGCATACGTCTTCGTTATCTTAAATTCCTCTCAGGTATATTAACGATCAATGTAGAAACTTAAAGGCATCTGATATCAGTTTTATTCCTATATGATTGCTGATACTAAATCAGAACTATGTATTCTTAAAATCTGTTGAAATCTGATAAGAATTTTAAATTGCGCTTTTTCTATTCTAATTCTAGGGAATTAGCATATTTATATTTCATTGCTTATACAACAGTGAGGTAAGACATTTTTAATATAGAATTAATTGATTATCGGATCAGCAACAGATTTTAAGAAAAATAAATCTTGCCAGTCAGGTGTATTAAAGTCTCAATTATATTCCTCGAAAGCTACTGGTACCAAACTAGATCTTATGTCTGCTTGTACCATTAGGTTCGCCAACAGTATAGAAGACTGATCCAAATGAGAGTTGTCTGTTCATCTCATGTAAATAAGGTATCACCGTAGCAATATTAGAAACTATTCAATACTAAAATCTAACTGCTCTTGATTATTAAAGAGTCATGTTAATGATAAAAGTGATGAACTTGGAACATGTTCAATTTCTCTAAAGCATTTGTTGATTTACGTGCACAAATTTATTGTTCTAAATACTAGAACTCATTAATGAAGTTTATCCGTCAGTGTATTTTCAATCTAAAATGAAAGTAAAAATAAGTTAAAAACTGAACCCAAATTTTCTATTACAGATCAATTCTAACGTTATTTCAAGTCCTAAATTTTCAACAAGTTCCAATAAAATCGCCAAATTAAAAGACGGTAAAGCATTGATTTCGACTGATATTAATTTAACTTATTCATTATTACGAGATAGGTAAAATTTCTTCAGCCAATGCAATGGTAACCCTTAAAATGCGAATGAAAGCTAATTACTTGTGTTCGATTTAGATTTAAATCTCTCCTATAAAATTATACCTTTGGCAAGAGCAATAGTAAGTTTTACTTTTCACTTTAATTTATACCGTGATTCTTTATTAATCCTATTCGATTGGCTGACCTAGCGATCGGATACATGATATTCGTGTCTGCTAAGATTTTATAAATTGTTCAAATTGTAATTAAACATTATCTAGGAAATTTATAATATAGCAATAAATAATTTAACCATTGAAGCATTTCAACTTTATTTTAGACAAAACCAATTAATGAGCAGGAAGAAGGAAGATTGAACTGCGCCTATTGATTTAACTATTGCATCTCTCCTCATGTGACACGATTAAGTACGACAATGTACATTGTTGTCAAGAGATTTGAGGAAAAGCAATTTTATGAACAAAATAATTGCAGTAGCTATTACGTCTTGAATACTTTGATTTAAATTACTAGCAAGTGTATAAATGACTCTTACGACACTAGCAGCAAGTGTTATAAATACAAGTAATTAGTAAGAGCAAGTAATATCATCAGATTGACTTGGTATCATGTTTGCTCTGTATACTAGCAATAAAATTTATTCTGCAATTAAATTCGGGTGTTGCGATCTGTAGAGGGTCGTACCTTTATTTCTTACCTAAGTGATGGAATTTCGTCGATATTTAAAATCATACAGTCGCATGCTGCCATTAGAGCACGATATGCTGTCATATTTTCTCTTCATAAACTTGGTTTGTGATGGTAACCCAAAAGTAGTCGCGGGTAATGAGTGATTAATCATCTAAATTCAATTAAGTTTCAATAGTTCTTGGAATATGCGAAAAATTGCCAATATTTATAGGAAATTATTCTTTAACAATTGGAAAATTCTTCTGATCAAAGTTTTTGATCTTTAAATATAATGTATTAACGGATATGAGAATAAAGAAATATCCATTTAAGCGATTATTGTGATTTATTTATCGTTTTTGAAAGGAATTTTTTCAGACTATTTGACGATACAAATTCTGCCAGGATTTGTGTTTATTTTGCAAATAAGAATAATTGAAGTTAACCTTATAAATATAAGTAATATCTCATTCGCATTAATAAAGTAGGCAATATCTTTTGTATAATACATATCATAACTTAACCAACTATTCGGCGGTGATACCTCCGAATGCAGACATATTCATTGAGTATCCTTTAATCTTACTTAGCTACGGTATCAGTTAAAATTATCCCCATAACTTTCTCATCTATAACATAAAAATTTTAAAATTACTTTAAGAACTTGCTAAAAATGACTATTATTACGAATAGAAATTTTAAATTAGGGATCAGCCAGCTAATCTAGAAGTCACTTTACGAGGCAAGCCTATTTAATAGTTAAAAGCTCTAAATCGGAGATTTTCACACATTAAAAATAATTAGTTTTTTCAGTCGTAAATAGGAATCGCTAATATTGCGAATATAAGATCCAGCTAAAAGGCTATTAAATTAATAAATACAGTAATAAAGTCCACAATTCTATATTTAGGCAGATCAATACGCAGCTAACCTTTGCAAAAAAACTAGAAAAGCAAGAATGGGAAACTGTTAAAAATAATATTAATTGCTTGAAGTATTGGCTAAATAATTTAGAAATTAAATATGCTTCAGTAGAAATATCTGATGGCAAAGAAAAGTTATTTTTGGAAGCTCTACGTATTCCGAAAATTTAGATTATTAACACCAATTTGAGTTAAATCACCATCGATATAAATAATATGGAGCATCAATTTAGAAATGCAACTTTTTAGGAGCAGAATAATGTAAGAAAATTGGTTTATATATATTACGAGCTAGAAATAACCCTAACTTGCAACAAGAATTTAGAGGGTAATTTCTATTCTATACTACTTATCTCAAACTTAACTTGCGAACTACTAACCTAAACTAATTGATTACTTATTCCTATCTCCACTACACCTGGAATTCTACTGTGTAGTAGTTCTATACTACTTACGGTCACACAGGGTGTAATGTAACTAGTATCGTGATTGTAGACTGCTAGCCATGTTTAGTATAATGTATAGTAGATATTATCCTAAGATATATTTGGTAGCTATAACTATAGACTGTAGTGGTATAGACTCTATGCTAGAGTACAGATGACAATATACAGTAAGATGCTGAGTTACTAATAAAGCTATAGGTAAAATAGAACTGTAAATCAGACATTAGGATATGGTTAATTCATTACACTTTGGCTGATGTGAATAATGTCTACGTAAGTACTGTAGTCGTATCCATATTGGATTAATGATGGTCCGCAGTAGAATAGTCTTACTAAGAATAATTTAACTATATGTAATATAAGGTAAAAGGTTGCCATGCAGATTGTAGCTGCGAATGCTACGAAAAGTATAAAAGCATGCAACTTTGGATTATTCTGTTAGTTCGTTGTAGAAGTCTTTAGTAGTAGTATTCGGTTAGAGTAGAGCTGTGTGCAGTTAATCTTTGTATAAGATTCAATAAAGCCCTTATTTTTCTAAAATTTGGAACCTCGTGATTGGTATTTATCACACAGGGATAAGACTATTTTAAGAATTTAGTATAGTTTTATTAATAGAGTAGCCGAAGCGCTATCTTATCACGAGATGAGGGGCTGAGCATTCGCTCTTACTTTTATACCCTACAACCGAACTTGTGGTACATACATAGTAATTTAATATGATAGCATTTACATGGTTCGTATACTCGTACGTCACTCATACTTCACGGCGAATATTTTTATAATAAAAATATTTACCAAATATATGGAGTGAGCTACGTAATAGTTACTAGTTGTGATAGTGTTATATACTGAATTAGGGTAAAAATATCTATGTTAGGATAATTTTGTTAGCCTATCCTTATTTAGTTAACTTCTAATTTTACAGTTCGAATCATTGTGATTGTAACTTACTTATCAGGACATATCGTAATCTGACTATTCTGTATTAGTCATCAGATGTCTATGTCCGTAAATACTGTTATCTGCATTAGGGAGCAATAGCTAAAATTAATGTCTAATTCAGTGAATAATTCTAAAGCTAATCGCACCAACTATATGACTCATGAGCTATTGAGGAAGAGTATATAAACGCAATATATCGTGTAATAAAGCTAATTCTTAAACTTAGTGTTTAACATAAAATACGAGGCGTCTAAGTCTTTGTGTAGTCTGCTAGTAGAGCAAAAGTGTTCCTGATAGTGCAGATATTGTTCCTTGATGCTAGGTTCAAGGAATGGACTTATTAATCGTACATTACGTTATCTTGTTGCAAAGCTGTTTTTGACACTAGAATACTAAATATTTTATTTTCCTACTTAAATGTTAACATATAAAAGAATCCGTCAACAAATGTAGGCAATAAACTTTTTAAAAATTAGCTGCATTATACGTAATCTGCCTAGATCTATAAAATTTTATAAACTGGCTTAGGCCCTTCAAGATTTCTTTTTAAAGTTTGCTACTAATTTCTCACAATTGCATTCCAATTAATTTATCTATTTTGAATGCTCAATCGCTACCTAAATAGCTACTATCCTATTTTTTCCCATCTAGTTGATTATGGTAATAATAGAATAATTGAAACATAACTTCTAAATTATGTCTCTAATTCTAGTGCGTTGGCACTTCAAAGCGGCATGATACTACAGATAAATATCTTGGATAATAATAGTTTATTTGCCACTAATGAATACCACCTGATGTATCATCATTACTTTAACAACACAAAATTTTAGGAATGTTCTGATGAATATCTTACCTTTTACAACATCAGTTACTAAAAGGGAATCTTTGAAAGTTACAAGAAACTCTTTTAGATGCCTTCTTTAAATCGATCAAATAGTTGGTAAGAATTATGTACTCTTGCTGTGTGAGAAATTTATGAAAGTAAGTAGTCATGATAAACATAAGTTTATTTAGCCAAAGTAATTGATGGCAGCATCGGTTAATTGTCTTTTCAATCATATTGTTTATTATACTAATTAATTACGTCGATTTCAAATTTAAACAAACAAGGAAGAAATCCAGTTAAATATCTGGCTGGACATAATTGGAATGCAGTGATACTATAATAGTATGAGTCACGTAAAATGTGAATAAAACGACACGTTATTGTTCTTGGGAGCTGATCTATATCTTACCATTAAATAAAAACTAGAAATTTGATACGTGAGATGATCGTTGGGATAGACATGATCCTTGTTAGTAGCGACTACAACTTTCTCCCTTGACTCAATTTAATCAGACTAGGCGATGTAAACAATTGACGCCGATAAGATTATATTAAGATTTAACTTGTTCAATTTGATCATTTATCTATAATACATTCCAAAAAGCTAAAAAATTAAGCAGATGTTTTCATTAACATTCAAATATCATCTTATGTAGCAATAATATGGATATAAATGTCGACAATACCTAGGGTAACTTGAATAATCAGATACACCTGCTTCTTATCAACTTTATATTATAATCAATTGAATAGCAAATTGATTCAATACTATGGCGTTAATTAATCATATCATTTGCTACTTGATTCTTTTTTAAGTAGCAACTATTCATTCAGATATAAATTGAGATACATTAATGCCTTAGTTTGAATATAGCAACTCTTGCATAAACATTACTTATGTAAAATCAGTATTTTATACATCGATTATGTTAGCGTAATAGATTTCATACCTCCATGTTTATTAGCAAGGTAGTCTAACAGTTCACACATAATACTTTTCATTACTCATTTAAAGGGAATCATTTACAGTATCGAATTTGGAAATTCTATAGCATTGAAAAAGTTTTAGTAATTTAGGAAAGAATTATTATTGCCTTTGGCGATACCGACGCCGCCGTGATAAGGATATAGTCAATTAGGTTAATATATCGGCTTGCAGTGGAAAAAATTGAGTTGCGGTGATAAGAAATACTAGCAAATTTAGCGGCATCAGTTAAAAACGATTATAACAGCACAATCAATTGCAGAATTTTACGTGGTATTTTGGTAAGTTACTTGTTATTCATTGAGGCAAATCCTGATAATATTTATATTTTCATTATCAAATGATTTGTTTTCATCTGGAATACATAACAGTAAAGTAATATAAAATTGTGACATATCTGAATTATATCGGCGGTATAGCTTTTATTTTCATTGCTTCACAACTTGATCCGTACTTAAATATATATGGCAAAATGGATCGAAATGGTGAATAGTTGATGTTTTGCAATCCTTCGTCAGCTTTAAAATGAGAAAGAAAAATTCGTAATACCAAAATTTCGGCTAACTACTAGGTGTT